GACATTTGGAGTCATAAATTTCATACATTTCGTTTTAGTGCCATTTAAATGCAAATTATTAACATTGAACCAATTTACTAATTTAGATAATTGACGACTTAATTTGAAAATTAAAGAAGTGTCATCAGCAAATAATACTATATCATGGTTATCTCCTACTATGTAAGGTAAGTCATTAATGTATACAAGAAACAGAAAGGGGCCGAGAATTGAGCCTTGAGGCACGCCCATTTGCACCATCGACCCGGAAGAACTCATACCGTTAATGACAACTTTTTGCGTTCTCTTACTTAAATATGAAATAATTAATTTAAGAGCATCACTTCTTACACTGTAGTGTTGAAGTTTCCTGATTAATGTTTCATGGTGAACACAATCAAAGGCTTTGGATAGGTCACAAAATATACCCAAAGCATCCTGTGAATTCTCCCATGCATTAAATATATATTTAATCAGCTCAACACCAGCATCAGTTGTCGAGCGACCCCTTGTGAAACCAAATTGATTTTTATGAAGTAAATTATTTATATTAAAGAAATTTAACATTTGATCTAGAATATTTTTTTCAAAAATCTTACTAAGTGTTGGTAGTCCAGAAATAGGTCTAAAATTGGCGGGGTCTAATGTACTACCAGATTTAAATAAAGGTATTACTTTACTATACTTCATTAAATCAGGAAACACACCAGCTTCGATACTAGTATTAAAAATAATAGCTAAATGAGGCGCGATTGTATCTATTATAGACGCAATAACTTTAACGGAAATCCCCCACAGATCCGCAGTTTTCTTAACATCAATAGTTTTAAAATATTTTACAATATCTTTTGATGATACTTTATGAAATGCAAAATTCTTTGTACACGCATTTACATTTTGTATAAGTAATGATTCGGCGACCGCAGGAGAAGAATTCAGTGACTTAGTGGTTAATATCGGAATATCAGTAAAATATTTCTCGAAAACCATTGCAACGTCCTGATCTGATTCGGTTAATTTGTTACTAACACTTAATTGGTAGTTTGAATTGCGAGAGTTGATCTTACCAGTTTCGCTATTAATTATACTCCATGTCATTTTAATTTTATTAGAAGCCGTCTTAATTTTGTTGCTCAAATGCAAAGACTTGGCTGTGGAGCACACTTTTTTAAATATTTTTGAATATTTTTTCGCATATTCCCTAAATTCGACGCTATGATTATATGACCTTTCATGGTAAAGATCATATAACCTATGTCTGCTCCTATGGACTCCTACTGTCGCCCATTCATTAAATGACTTCCGACTGTTCAAGGAGAATATTTTAGAAGTAAAAGTTTTATTAAATTCATTGCAAATAAGCTTAAATAATGTTCCATACAAAAAATTTGGATCATTTTGGTATGAAAGTGATGGAAGTTTTTTCACTATGTTACTTCTAAATTTCTCCAAGCGACGTGCATTTACTGGAACAAACACAACTTTCTCATCTACTTGCTTTTTGTGAACATAAGGTAACGAAACTACCTGTCCACAGTGATCAGAACTTAATTTTTTAATTATACATTTATGCAACGGCTTCACATTTGTAAAAATGTTATCTATACATGTTGGGAAACAACTGAGTCAAGGAGTCACACCGTTTTTAAATGAAATAGCAGATTGTTCTGTGGTACAGGCGTGAACTTTAGTTAGGTACTTGTTATTTCTTATTTCAAAGCGAAGTTTTTCTCTCTCCTGGAAACAAATCCAGGGAAGAAAAGTAATTTAAAAAAAAAATTCTGAGAAAGAAAGAAAAATGCATTCTGTTACCTAGAAAATAGGAACAGCTTAATATGTTATATCACTAGGCTATACTTTGTAAAAATAATTACAAGCTATTTTTGTACAACATTTTGCTAAGTATTTAATTGTATTTAATTTTTTAAATGAAAATTTACACATTTAATCAAAATTGCGGTCTCAGGAAATCAATTTTTTGACAATTTTGTTACACATATATAAGTGCTATAGCTATAAATAAAGATATAAATATAAAAAAACAATTTTTGTTTTAATGTTTTTAAATGTACTTCTAATTTATTATACGATATGCAACTTTGCCAAACGTTGAGATCTTAAGACGGTCTTTGGCCTTTTTTAATTGCATTGTGGGGCTTTCCAATCCGAATCCGATCTCAAATACTGATGATACAGATACTAATGATGAAATCGAAAACCACTTGCAGGTTTTGGAATCACAAAACACCCATACGGATTATCAGAAAACTATTCTTTATTATATTAATGGTTATATAATAAAAATATTATCAAACAGCTGAAATGTAACGATTGTAAAAATTTGCTAATTGCTGCAGATCATTTACAAACCGATCATTTATACGTTTTGAATGTAAATAAATATCAATATCTACAACATTTGAAAATAGAGGTAAATTGCTTATTCCATCCGCAGAGGTGTACAAAATTGTCCTTTTTGCGGATAAAATATTTAAAAGGGCATCAAATATGAATAGTCTGAGTCAACCTTATATTAAAAATGTACTAATCAATATTATTCAACACTTCACACCACAGTTGCGACCAATGTTTTATTTATATATATATATATATATATATATATATATATATAACCTTATAAGGATATATATATATATATAACCTTAAAGGTTATATATATATATATATATAACCTTATATTAAAAATGTATTAATCAATATTATTCAACACTTCACACCACAGTTGCGACCAATGTTTTATTTATATATATATATATATATATATATATATATATATATATATATATATATATATATATAGTGTATTTTATACGTGGTAGAGTCATGCTGCAGCTATATTAGTAGTATAGTTTTAGCATGAATGGGAATAGAAACAGCTCGACCGGGGAAGGACCACACCTTCAACAGAATACCATCGTAAAATAGCAGCCTAACGCTGTTGTGTTTCGTATGGTGAGTGTAGAGTACCGGAGACCCTTTTTACTGGAAATGAGGCATTCCATCTTGGTTCTCACGGGTGACAACGCATCTGCATTTTGATTTGTAATAGAGGATAGATGCAGATGTCTATGGGCCGCAGCAATCACTTACCATCAGGTGAACTGCATCAGCCTATGGATGACAGTATTAATTGCTCTGAATTTCATTAATCCAGAATTTAAAAATATTTTTTTTTATAGGATAGGGTGACAAGCGAGCACACAGTCCACCTGACGGTAAGTGGTTGCTGTGAATTTCAAATTCTTTTTTGACCATGCGTCTCAGAACGCATCTGAAAGATTTTATGGACCAAAAGTTGAGTGCTGTTCGTACCAAGCGAGAAAAACTTCACAAAACTATTCAGTCATATATAAAAATTTTGTTGTTGTAAAAACCTTCACCTCTAATCATTATTGTTGTATATTTTAAATTTATAGACACTATTTCTATTGTAATATTAAATGTAAATAAAAACGATTATTATATAAGTTTTATTATTTCCTAATGTTATATTATAAGGGATGTAAAGACATCCTCCCGAAAACTTTAACCATGAACTCATCATGACCATCATTCTGAGTAAGGTACTGAAGGAATTTCTTTGTGGAAATTAAAAAAAATTGGCTTCGCATACAAAATTGGTCACGTGATATTTTGAATTTTTTTTTCATTTTTGGACAAAAATTATTTTAGATTTGGTCAGGATGATGGTCTGAGTTCATGGTTAAAGTTTTTTTTATATTGAACCCGTTCACTCGTTTATTCGTTTATTGACAAAAAAGTACACGAATAAATAATATTAATTAATAAACTTCCGCCCGCAGCTTCGTCCTTATGAATTTTTCTAATATCATGCGTTTCAATGGAACTCTACTATTTTCTATTAAAATAAAATTTTATATGGGAATATAATAATAATAAACTGATTTTTCCCCATAATATCCCAAATTCTTGTATTTTGTGTTCACCCTAATTAGAAAGAGACTGAGGGGTAATGAAAAATTTCAAGGTCGTTTTCTTGTATTTTTTATGTCATTCGAGACTGCGGGTTCCAGTTTGTACGAAGTACATATATTTCCATGCTCAAAGCACTCAAGTGACTCAAGCTAGTATATATACAGTAATCTATATATGTAAACTGTGATACGCGTGAGTGTTTCTAGATTCGTACCAAAGAGTATAGTTTCGGTTTATACAAAGGTACTCTGTGGAGTATAGTAACTGTCCTATACTTGTACAATGTACATACAACTTTTGAGTTTTGGCGGAAACTCGACCGGCGGCAGTTTGCTGCTCCTGTATTATAGTTTAAATAATAGTTTGAAGTGGATTTTGATATGTAAAAGTGGTGCGATTTTATGTATTAACTGTCTACTCATGTGAAATATTAGTGGAAACGGTGAAACAAGTGCTCTGATGGTGATGGATTCTCAAGACAAGCCGTTTGTTTGCATAGGCGCCTTTAGATACTATCGCCAACTGTCAGCTGCCTGCTGGCTCAAGTTGTCGTCAAAATCTCCCAAGGGCTGCACAATGTGACGCATCAACATATTGTGAAGCAGTGAACTATGAAGGATAATTATACATAAAGACAAGGCTGTATGGCATAGTTCCTTTGCCTGCTCTCTCGAGCGAATAATAAAAACAACAACTACATCTACATACAACTTTATAACCGTCGCCATAGAAATCTGAAATGTATAACATAATATAATTAAACGAAATCACAAAAACTGCCATACAAAAATAAAACAGTTTAATAGTATATTATATATTACTTAAACAAAGATTTAAACTACTATAAAAGTATTATTATTAGAGTTGACCGCAAACAGTGTATCATCACTACGTTTTAAGACAACCCTATATAATATTTATGACATGGCAGCATTATCTTCCGACGTTTGTCTTATCAGAAAGAAGCTTCTAAAAAAGTTATGAAATGTCAAAATATTAAGTCTGATTCCGGTTTCCGGCGATTTGTTTATTTATAATCATATTTGACAAAATACACAGAAAATATGATTAAAATATCGGCTTTAAATGATGAGTCAGAAGAGGAAAGTGGTTCAGAAGAAGAAGCAACGAAAGAAGCTCTTGAGCAAATCGCCCTCCAGCAATATGCTAAGGCACTTGACTTGCAAAGAAAGGGAAATCTTCCAGACGCAACGCAGCTTTTAAAGGATCTTCTTGACACAGAATTGTTATATAATGTTAAAAAGCCCGCTCCTGGTGAAAAAATAGCCGGACCTCTATTTAATTTAAAATATCTGTGTTATAAAAATCTGGCTACAATGTTGAGTGCAGCTGGTGATGTTGATGCTGCCATAGAATCTTATATTACCGCCTCAGAGTTAGATGATACAGATGTTACTCTGTGGCATCGCTTAGGACTTCTTTGTATGCAATCAAAACATTATGAAACGGCCCTACATGCTTTCCAACGTGGTGTAGATAGAAATCCAAAACATTGGCCATGTATCGATAAAATAATTACTCTTCTTTTAGGTTTAGATTATAAAGAAGAATGTATAACTAGTATTTATGATGCCCTCCAATTAGATCCTGGTTATTTGAGAGGTTTGGTATATAGAAAATATATTTATAAAGAATTTCCATACATTAGAGAATACATGGAATACTTTAATCCAATATATAAATGGATTGAAGATGATGATGAACCATTTGATCAGGAAAAGGGAAAGAAACTCCTGAAGGAAGCTGATGATATTCATCAAACATTTATAGAACAACAGAAAGCTGAGCAATTTAAGTATGTTTTACCTAATTTAAAATTGAAGAAGCCCATTACAAAGCTTACTTGGAATTCTGTAGGTGATTCTCTTGTACACATGCATCGATACATGACTGAAAACAGTTTCAGTCATGCCTGTTTTATTGAGCTGGTTTATGAAAAGGCTGAAATTGAAGAAAAAATGGAAGTGTCTGAGATAGATCTCAAGGAGGTTGAAGCAACAGAAAGCAAAGTGGATGATAACAACACAGATACAGAGAAGAATATGGAAAATGTGTCTGAAAATGAAAATAATGAATTATCTGATAAACAGGTTACAGATACAGAGAAAGTCGAAAGTGATGTCGAAATTGTTGCAACAGAATCTGCCACCGACACTACAAGAGAAACTAAAGCACAAAAGAAAACTCCAGTTCGACGTCGCGGGAGTGCACTTAGTTTTTTAGAACAGTGGGAGTGGTGCAACAAACGACGATCCGGGCGAAAAAAACCGAGCAACAAACAAGACCGTTATGACGATAACATTTATGATACTTTGAGGAGAATGGTGCCTGTAGCATTAGCTCCTGAGATGATACAGAAAAAAGAAAATCAAACAAAGGAGACGTCTCCTGACACTGCTGACTTAGATAAATTATTTGAAGAAAAAGACAAGTCGGAAACAAAAATTGAAGAAGAATATTTTGGTGTTGATAGTGAGCAGAAAGATGTCAAAGAATTCATTAATAAATATAGGGAAACTAATAAGGACATAATTGACATATTGAAAGATTATTTAAGTATTCTTGCTGAGAAATGGCATATGAAATGGCCTGAAGGCTTACCTAATGTTTTTGTTGAGGCAAATAAATGTTATAATACCCACATTGATATTCCATCTTGCAACGATGATAACCACGAGGGAATGTTACAGTTTACAGCAATTAATATTTTAGCAGAAGAGATATCAGTTAACGAAAAGCTTAATGCAGAGGAGAAGACGGCTCATGAGTTGGGAATTATAGAGTCCATTGGTGTAATACTAACTTTGAAACCACATATTTTCAACAGCATACACTATTTAGAATACATACTTAGACAGCTTTGGGTAAAACTTCATGTCCATATCATAAATAAGTGTGAGGGGTTTGCCCTTGATTGTCTCTTTCAACTTTTGGATGAGTTCGAAGCAATGGGAGATCACCATGATATCTATAGCTTAAATGTTACTAATTTTACATTCAAACCTCTTATAAATGAAGCTGAAATCTCTGAATATATTAAGTTTTTGGAAAGAAACAAAAAGCTCTCAACTGTTATGGAACTTTATGAAAAGGGTAATTATGAAGAAGTGTTGTCCATTGTGATAGATTCATTTGAACATTGTAAAGATATGGCTAGAACCCAAGAGGAAGAAATATCTTTGGATTTTGCTGTCCAAATATCAATTATTTTAGATGCTTGCTGGGCTTTGGACAAAGTAGACTGTTGCTTCAAATGGTCATTGATATGCTTACATGAAGCTTTAAAAAATTATTTTCGATTTACTTCTGGATCTAAAGATTATGACAAATGGACTCTTACTGTTGTTAAAATTCTTTCATGCATGGAACACATTCTCAGCACTGAAGGGCTGACTTGTTTGGAAGCTGTTTCCCAAAAAGAATTAAGTCAAGTTTTAGAGGATCTTATTAGAATAATAGGTCACCAAGTTGAAACAAACACAACAGAAATGCCATTTGGTACTATCGCCCCTTGGATTATTATGCACTACATATTGCAAAGGGAGGAGGATCAAGGAAGGGGTAGAACTATTTCAGACAATGACAGAGTTGCATGTGATGAAGTGCCCAATCCATTAATGATATTATTTATTGGTCATGAACAATTAGGAAACAGGGGTTGGTGCTGTAATTCAGATGGAAAACTTTTGTATTTTACTTTGGATACAGTAGTACCACGTTTACGATCCCCATCATTGTCAAAATCCCTGGAACTTGTGTGTCAATATATGGAACAATGTGTATACTGTCTGTTTGGTCATCCTGGTAGGAAGAATAAATTCAAGTATTTAGTCGACCATAATGTTACTTCATATTCTTTGGATTGGAAAAGAGCTCAGCAGTTGTATGAGATATTCAGACCCCATATACTGCCAGCTCTTGAAGGCAAAGTGTCTGGTATTACAGTTGATGTAGAACAGTTGTTTCATCGCATTCTTGCGCTTTTGCCACCAGAATGTGATCCAACTAAATATCTACCTGAAATGGAGAAATATATTAAAGGTGTTGAAAATAAACTGCCGGCCGTTCCTCCACTTCTGCCATACAAAATGAAAGATATTTACTTTTTATTAGGTGATTATTATTTCAAAAAAGAAGAAGGCAAAATGGCGGTTAAATTTAATATGTTGGACGTGATCTTAAATAATGATAGACTGGAGTCATGGGCGGAAATATCCCTCGCGAAAGCCGTGAATTTGGAAAGAGTGTTAAATTCATGTAAAAACCTGAACAATGAAAGGGAATTCCTCAATCACGCTAAATCAACAATACGGTGTTTTAAACGTTCCTTGGACTTGGACCCCACGCATTGCGATATGTGGTTAGAATACGGAAATTTCGTGTATACCGTCCATTCCTTCTGTTCTAGGTTATTAAAACAAGCTAGTGAATCTCTAAGTATGGAAGATTTCGAGTCGTTGGAAAAGCAAAAAGAGGATATGTTGGATACAACATACAAATGTTTTCACACAGTTTTGAATGACCTTAATGGTAGCAATGATTCAGACAAAATAAATGAGAATTCTTGGTTGCTATACTACATGTTGGGAAAAGTAGCTGAAAAGCGAAATAAACCACCGTCAGTTTATTTAGATTTTTACATGCAGGGCGTTAAAAGCTTACATGAAACTGGCGCAACTTATCCTTTAAAAATAAATTACAATACACCAACACATTTATGTATAGAAGTGTTGGAACTTCATTACCGGATACATGCTTCAATTCTTAAATATATCGAACAACATGAAAATAAACCTATTCCAGTATCAGTTGGTAAGGTATTTTTAGCATGCATTGATAAATGGCAAAATGGGCCTTTTACGAAAAAGCCTAAAAAAGACATCGCTGGTGAAGATTGTAATTCAAAAACTGAGGAACCAATACAAGCTGCTAATATACTGAAGCGCTCTATAAGTGATGCTGGCGAAGAAGATACACATGAAGCTAAAAAGCTTAAACTTGAGGCTGCGGCTGCTAAAGTTAGACGATCGGCTTCTTACGATACCGAAAGGATATCATCTAAAGAGTTGTCAAATACCACAACCGAAAAGGTAACTAAAACTGTAGACCTTGCGCTGGTCCCAGTGTCAAGTGAAGTTATTAGCAAAGAAAATGAACAAGAAATACCTGTAGAAGTTGTTAAAGATACAAAGACCTCTAACGATAAAGAAAAGGCGGAGAAAATGGAAATTTCAGACAAAGTGGATAAGCCATCTCCTGAAACTGACCAGGAATTGGTCAGTAATAAGAAGGAAGATACATCCAGTAGTTCTTCAACTAGTTCATCATCAGACTCAAGTTCTAGTGAGTCTTCATCAGACAGTAGTAGTGATTCAAGTAGAGACAGTGACAGTTCCAGCATATCGTCAAATGATACAAAACAACTTACAGATGAAGAAATCATGAAGATTGTTTCTGCCTGTTTAGATGCATTGGAAGACTGTGCAAGTCGTTTTCCCCCGCATTATAAAGCTATTTACAGACTAGCTCATTACCACTTTTATTATAAAAAAGGAAAGGACATAGAAAGATGCAGAGATCTTATGCTATCAAATTTTACATTAAGGTGTGGTCAAAAACTTGGTGGACTCTTTAGTGAAAGGAAGCATTCGAATTTTTTCAACAATATCTGGAAGATACCATCAGCTGAAGTGGACAGGGCTGGCAGTTTTGCATTTCACATGAATCGTTCAGTAATGCTCACAATGGAAATATTAAAAGAGATTGATGATCACAAAACATTGCTTGACTTAAGCTTGCATCTCCAGAGGATACCAGAACCGGACAAGAAATATTTACGTGATTCGGACAGGGAGGAACTGGCGCAACAAGCCTTCTCTCTTTGCGTTCAGTCACTTAAAGGGCAATTGTTAAAATTTAGTCAACAAGCAGATTTAAAAAGCAATGAAGTTGAGCGTCAAACTCTTAAGAGCTTGATGCTCGATATATATAGAGCATATCAAAGAGCACAGAAACAACCTAATTCGAAACAGTTCACAAATTTATTAGTAGAAGCCTATAAATTAGTTACTACCACACCTATTGCAGAAAATGCTAATTTAGTCGATCTTAGTATGAAATATTGCCAATCAATAATTCAGACATTAAAGCAACAAGCCACAATGGCCAGCTTGGACAAAAGCCAGAATCAGCAAAAGAAACAAACTGCTAAAGCAACTGAAGTTGTAAAGGCCACACCCGCAGGGACAACCAGTCAACCAAAAACTGACAAACAACCAAATCAACAACCATCTGCATCTGGCTTACCGAAGATTTCACCGCACGACATGGCAGCGGCTTTTCAAAGCTATGTTCCCATGTTAAATGACCAGTTACTCTCCCAACAGACTGCTGCGGCCTTATCTTTGTCATATTTGAGCAACATGAGCGCCTTAGCTGGTTACACATCTTTACAAAACTCTTTGCAATCATCTCTACAGAGTAGCTTTCAAAGCTCCTTTCAGGCGGAATTCTATCGACAGTTCATGGGACAAGGTTTTCCTTCATTCAACATACCGCCGCCGAAAAAGCAAAAGCGTGGGCCGAAACCATCCTCCAGCACCAGACCTGCAGTCACCACAGCTTCAATGAAAACGTCTAAATCGTTTAGCTCATCTTCCTTGCCGTCGTCGGCTAAATCTGCACCAACTTCTGTGATTACCAGTTTACAGAAGTCCGTGTCTACGACTTTAACACCCAGCATGGGATCAGTGTTACAAACTTTACCCCCTTCGATGTCAGCTAATGTTTCTTCCTTCGGTGCCGCTCATACGTCGTCGCATTCAAGTAGTCACAATTCACTACCCGCGCAAGCTCACATGTCTAATGCTTCTTCAGTAAACGCTCCTGTACACTCAAAACCACCAATGCCACACCAGCAAGTCAGCCCTGGTAAAACATTGCAGGAAAAGTTGGCGGAGCGGCAGAAACACATGCCAGCGGGGAAGAATGTAGCCAAAGAGATAAATGCATCTATAAGTAGACTACCATCATCGCTCACAATCACAAAGACGTCTGTGCCGAAGCCATCCGTTATTCAAAGCAAAAAACCAGAGGCAAAGAAGGCCTTGTCGTTTAGTGAGAGTGAAAGACCTAAGCCTATCTCTTCAGATGAAGTAATTGTTTTAGATGATGATTAAAAAATAAGTTAACATTTATTCTACTACTATTATAAGAATGTGTAAACATATTTAATTAAAACAATATTTAATATTTTTAAAGTTCTTTTATTTATCAAGAGTGTAATGAAAATAATATGCATGTTCATTACCAAATAATATTTTCATTATTAATATGTTTCGCATAACCCTAAATCTTTTAAAACTGGGAAATATTTACAATTTTATTGCTTATATCTGAGTTAAAGTTTGTTACTTAAATTTACAGTTTATTTGGCAAAGGCACAAAATCCATAATTTCATATTTTCAAACGCAACTAATATTTTACATGACACATGTGTTTCAAACTGAGTTATTTTCTAAAGGATTGGGTAATAAAGTCAAGACAAAATTTTGTTGCCGACTTTATATTTATTATATCTACTTTGTTATGAATAATACAAATTTTTGCAATAAAATTAATTTTATAGCTTACATTATATAAAACTTAGACATTTAGTGACAATTTGTAATGAAAAGAAAAACGTAAGTAAATTTTCTTTTTATAAATTTATTTAATAATAATTTAATATGTGTATTAGATAATATATTCAATTAAAATAAAATTATATTGACATTTTAAAGTTACATATTATATGCAGTCTTATTCTAACGCCACTGTTAAATCAGTCCAGTTACAATCGACTTTACTTTTCACTTTTGTTTTTTAATGCACTGTGGTGGTGGATTTTTAGTTTCAATAATGCAACACTAACTCACTCAGTATGCATATGTTACAGCAATCTATAGTGATAGAAATCCATTAACATAAGACTTAGATTCCAGTTGGCTATTAATGTACCGAGGTAGGCGAGAACAAGTACGGGCAGAGGCAGTAGAAACACCCGCACATTTTGTAGCATTGGTAAATCTGAAAATATAAACATTTGATAAGTCCGTAAGATATATTAATAAATGAATATATAATAAGGCTTCTACCACAATAAAAAGATATACATACAATATCACATGTAATTATGAAATAAATAAATTATTTTCCATAATTTGTACAGTATTCTATAATTTTAATTATTGTTTTATAAAGTCTGAATACAAGTCTAAGTCGGCTTTCCTAAAAAATTTGATCTTTGGTCACATATTCGGTCTTCGACAATTGAAGGGGTGCCATAGAACAATGTTGGGGGGGGGGGGGGGAGGGTCATGTTATGGTAGACATTGCCTACTAAAAATAATGAATATATAACAGAACCATCTACTCTCAAGGAACATGCAAGAATAATTTAGTGGCTTTCGATAGATAGCTGAATCTCCCTCTATAGTGGAGGAGTGGTCTACAAAACTACGTGAAAGCTCAGGGGCTACGCTTTCGCCGTTATGAAATTGTTAATTGCCGTTTCAAGTTTAAGTAATCAGCGGTGAAAAAAATATCGCATACGCTCTAAAGCAGCACGGCAGACTAATATCTCCATAATACATACCACCCACCCACTCCACAACCATATGGAAAAATGATAGGAACTCTGTGCCTAGCAGGGGGATGTATAACAAACATAACCTCCACACTAGGATGTTCACCTTTTTTTTATAGGATAGGGTGACAAACGAGCACACAGTCCCCCTGATGATAAGTGGTTGCTGTGACCCATAGACATCTACATCTATCCTCAATAAAGAATCAAAATGCAGATCAAAAGTCTTCTACGTGGTAGAGCCATGCTGCAGCTATATTATGGTTGTAGCACGAATGGGTCGGCTCGAACGGGGAAGGACCACGCTCTCACAGAAAACCAGCGTAAAATAGCAGCTTAACGCTGCTGTGTTTCGTATGGTGAGTGTAGAGAACCGGAGACCCTTTTTACTGGCAAAGAGGCATTCCATCTTAGTCCTCACGGGTGACAACGCATCTGCATCTTGAGTCTTTATTGAGGATAGATGTCGATGTCTATGGGTCACAGTAACCACTTACCATCAGGTGGACTGTGAGCTCGTTTGTCACCCGATCCTATAAAAAAAAAAAGATGCATTGTGACTTGTGAGGACTAAGATGCCTCTTTTCCAGTAAAAAGGGTCTCCGGTTATATTCCGTGAGAGTGTGGTACTCCGTGAGAGTGTGGTACTTCCCCGGACGAGCCGACCCATTCGTGCTACAACTATAATACTAATATAGCTGCAGCATGGCACTACTGCGTGCAACATACTTGTATCGTAGGGGCAGTTTACATACATAAATTTCATAAGAACAAACATCCAGACCCGCAACAATTATTTCTAGACCACAGAAAAACTCGTTCTGTGCGGGATTCGAACCCACACCTCATACCGCTGTAACTTATTGCTCTGGGATATTTACATTGACATACTACTACTACTACTAAATGGACGGCGGGTCTAGAACAAAATTCACGAATAATGAGTCCATAGTCAAACTATATAGCCATACTTACATGTATAGAAATATTAAAAAAAAAAACTATAACATCCTAATTCAAACCATATTGTCATTAGAAAACGGCTCAATTTTACTTGCGACAATTTATTAGCCTAGCCTATTAATTTATTAGAAAATTAAGTTAAGGTGTAACATACGGTCTGCTCTCGGCCATTTCTCCGCGAGATGACGCTGAGGTCATAATTTTTTAGTTTATTTGGATTTTTGTGTAATTGGAACATTATTAAGTCGTAGAAGTAGCTACCGCGGTACTCGGACATTATACTTTATTGTACTCGGTCATATAATTGCCTCAAAAATACACACAATTCGACTCAAAGCCCTAAAATAACATCTGCCATTGAACATAGTGTCGTATACACACACAGAAGTGGGTGAATTCCTAGTCCCTAGGTTTACGAAGATTGAACACTAGATGGCGCGAATGAAAAAACGATTTTATTTTTTCTGTATGGGTAGGCAGGACTACAGAACGCTATATGCTACGATATATATTATGTATGATTCATCATCTATACTAAACTATACATATAACTATATTGGGGTCAAACCAGATTCAGCTGAATACCAGTATTTTACGATTGTGTTATAATAATAAAAATTATATTTGTAGGCGTAAACTACTTAATTCAATAATAATTTTGGGAATTAAATTATGTCAACACTAAGAACATTAAAACGCAAAACTGCGTTTAGTTTTATTACCTTACACTATTGAAATTATTGATCTAAACAAGTATTTGAAGTGACACGCCTGATTAACAGTTCAAAGTTAAATGTAACTCACAATATTAAAAGAAGTGTCAAAATTTTCCTAGATTTCACTATTGTTTTTCTTATTATGTACTGTAAGTTCTTTCCTAAAAAGTTTAACCACGTGCACATTTCAGTGTAGAAAAGTGATAAAATGACTAATGTTTAGCGTAATGTCCAGACAAAAATGTATGGATATATATATATATATATATATATATATATATATATATATATATATATATATATATATGTATGGATATATATATTTTGTTTAGGCCAAAATGGTCATTTTGAGACGGCAACCAATCACGTTCGACTTAGCGACTGGCCCGATGGTACCAGGTATCACACGTGTTGCGGGGAGGGGGCAGCGGAAGACAGCTTCCCCGCGTTTGGCGCTGGCGGGCGAGGGACAGTGGCTCGCGGGCAGCGGTGCAGTTAATTAGCGTGTCTCGGTGGCCGCTGCCGAAGTTTCGCGCGACCGGTTTTGGGTTATGGTCTAGATTTTTAGAATTTGTGCGCGTTACTTCGCTACGTAATTGTGGTTTCGTGAAAACCGCCTCGGTTTAGTTTGTCTAGGTTTTAAGTTCGTGACAAGACGCTTGTATTGTATTTGACTGATTAAAGTAATTTCGTTGAAAGTAATTGCGCCAATTATATAGTGATTGCGTGTTGAAGTGAATTTTACTATATTTAACTTGCTCGTGTGACGTGGAATTTGCGCGCGCGCCGAGTAGAGATACGGTCGGGAATTGAACCGCGCATTCCTTTTCGAGGCGTCGCCCGGCTGATTGTTTTGGAAATCATTGTTTAATTATACCGTCGCGTTAAGAGCCTTTTGTGTGTTGACTCTGTAGCTAGTTTGCGTGTCAGCTAGGTTGGTTTTGAATTCTTAGTGCGGCGTATTATTTAATATCGAACGAAGGAGCTTAGTTGTGTTTGTAACGCTGAACCGTGTGACTCATGAAGAGATCGCGTTAGTTCCCTATTTGTAATTTGGTGATAAATGAATCCGGGACATTGAATGTGGAACTTTGAACTACTGTTCGTTACTTGTGTCGGGTATCACGTGTTCGATTCTACGATGAACGTTGAATTAGTCGAGTTGAAGTTAGTTAAATGTTTAAATGTACAATAAAGTTGATAGACTGAAATAGTGAAATGAAGAAAGAAATTGTCCATTGTGGACGCCTGCTGGAGTGATGCAGCATTGTGGGGCAGCATGGAAACCGGCCGCTGCCAGGTCACCTCAGCTGGGCCAGGTCACCTACATATACACACCACTAAACACCACTTTACATGCATCTACTCTACCTACGGCCTGACCGAACCTTGGGGCGGTCTTAGATTCGGATCCAGGTACGTACTATTTATTTACCTCGCCTTCTCCCTATTGTGTAGTATGATAGCTCATTTTTCCATAAGGTCACTTGGGCGCGAACCCACGGCTGCCCGTCGAGGAGGCTACTATGCAGGGGCAGCTGTGGGCCGTAAAAATATATATATATATATATATATATATAAAATTTTAAAAAAGGTACTTACTGTTATAACCTAGAAATGTGATGTATAGATAGTATATGACCGACGCCAGCCAAAACGTGTTCGCCACCAAACATGAAATGTACCCACCCTCCATAAGTAGATCTGAAACAGAAGAATTATGTGTTATTGGTATTTGTTTTCAGTTTCATTTTCTCTATCATGAACTGCACATAGACTTTTCCATTTTTCTGCCGACTTCCAAAAAGGAGAGGGTACTCAATTCGACTATATGTTTTTTTTATATGTGTTACCTCATAACTTTTTCTAGGTGAACCGATTTTGATGATTCTTCTTTATTTGAAAGCTGGTGCTTCTCATGTGGTTTCATATAAATTTGATCAAGATCTAACCAGTTTTTTTGAGTAATCCTTAATAATGCGTATTAAGTTGACTTCGACTACATTGATGATGTTTTCATTTTATTTATATTGAAGTCGGTTGTATAAAATTTCTAATTATACCACTTTTCTCCTTTATTGTCGATGCGTTCATACATAGTAACATCCGTGCGGGATTCGATCCCACAAATTAGCCACTGCGTCATTGTAGGATGCACTTAGCGTAACCGCCATTTTGGTAATGTCATTTCAATAGGTTAGTATAGAGTGGAGTGATGACGCCGTAGTGATGTTTAATATCATAATGCACTGTATCATTTATGTCCGTGTAGTGGCGGTGTAAGAATGTAAACTACACTCTATCGTCCCGCGGGTGTCGTAAGAGGTGACAGAGGGAAATCGATACAGGGGATGAGCAGTCTTAGTGATAACAACCAGCTTGCCAAGTGTGGCAACTATGGTAAAATCCCCTCAATCCCAATAATACATTATCTCAATCATAGTACTATGTAACAATTCCATTTAATGTTATGGCAACACTAGCTAAAACAAAATGTCACTGTATGACACAAAAGCCCTGGAGTGATGCCAGAAATATACATTTATATTATGCAAATCTATACAAATAAATAAAATTGAAGTGTCTATTTGTAATGTCAAAATTACATCTTTTTACAAAATGCATATCAAGATATGTACGATATTAATAACAAAAATGCAATTTTTAAAGTTTTTGTCTGTCTGTCTGTTTGTTCCAGCTAATCTCCGAAACGGCTGGACCGATTTTGACGGGATTTTCACCGCCAGATATCTGATGTGAAAAGGAGTAACTTAGGCTACTTTTATTATAGAAAAAGAATTAGGGTTTCGCGCTAAAAAATTAAAACCCCAAAATAACACGCGGGCGAAGTCGCGGAGAACAGCTAGTATATAATAGAGATGCAATAATCTAAAAACTCTCAATTATGTAGGTAGGTACATTATGTTGAGAATGATAACACGCGGGCGAAGTCGCGGAGAACAGCTAGTATATAATAGAGATGCAATAATCTAAAAACTCTCAATTATGTAGGTACAGTAACACTTTGAAAAAACAAACAGCTGAACAACAAAATACTATTACAAATTTAAAAAAAATCTGTAGCGAAACACAAAGTAGTACAAAGAAAAATTCAACTATAAAAAAACAAAGATGTAAGGTAAAAAATCTAAATATTGTTCATAGAAAGAAACTGGATATGTCTTTCATTGATCTTGAGACAAAATCTTCTGAAGGAAACACAACTGAATTCGCTACACGCAATATGAGCAAGAACGGGTCTTCACAAGTCCATAAACTTAACTATAAAAAGTGCGATCAATGCAAAACAGATGGCGCTATATTAAATCTGCATGAAGAAAATAAAGTAATTAATAATCAGCAACCTTTTAAACCCATTGACAACAAAACAAAATCCCAATTAATTATATTTGGAGGACAACAATTTACAGGATTGGCCACACTACTTATACAATCTAGAAATAACAATCAGTACAAAGATTACCAGGTCTTTTCAACTACAAAACCCTATGCCACTACAGAGGAAATTCTTAAACCTATTTATAAATTGAACGATTGCGAAGATAATTATCTAATTATATGCATAGGAGAAAATGACACTAACCCTAACAAAATAATAATAGAATTAGTATCAATGCTAAAATATTTAAAAAAAACTAAAATATTAGTATTTAATGTTTTACAGAACAGGTACTTAAATGAAAGTATGTTAAATAACAATTTAAAAATTATATGTAACAACTTTAAAAATTGCTCATTTATAAATGTAGAATGTGACTATCCGTACAATAAATACTACTACTTATTAGATGTATGTAAAAAAATTAATTTTAAGATTGACTCAAATTATTATGAAAATAAATTTTTATGTCCTAAAAATATGTTATTGTTAAGGAAAAAGGCTAAAATAGAATGCACAACTATTCCTAAGAAGGGAACAATTCCTTTTTACTTTAAGTCTTGTAAAAATGTACATTCAGGGGATAATTGCCAGGAAGTAAACTCTACTACGGCGTTTTTGAACAAAATGGAAATAGTAAATACCGAGACTCATAAAAAGGGAACCATACCTTATTATTTTAAAAAGTCAATACCGTGTTTAAATAGACAACCTGACCCACAGTTGCCTTTACAAGCGAAAACATGTTTTCGTCCCTAACTCTAAATTCAATTTTAGAATATTTCACCAGAACATCGCCGGCGCTGTAAATAAAACTGAGGAACTATCATTTGCAATCCAAGAGTTGTCACAAAAAGGTCCAAAGATAGATATGGTGTGTTTGACAGAAACTTTCATTAAAAAAGGTACAGAAATGCTTTTGAAAATACCTGGTTACAAACTAGTTGCATCGTATTCACGGGACACTAAACGAGGAGGGGTATGTATAATGATAAATAATAATTTGATATACAAAAACGTGACTAATATTAATGACTTAGCATGTAAATTTAATTTTGAATGTTGTGGCGTAGAAGTAAATAAGATTATAATCATTTGTTTATATAGAACTCCTAATAGCAATCCACAAATATTTCTTGAAAAGCTAAAACAGTTACTAGCAAGACTTACTAGAAAACATAAAAAAATTATTCTTTGCGGTGACTGGAACTTGGACATCTTAAAGCCACACAAGAGTTGCGAAGAGTTACAAAGTATGTTTAAAAACTATAACATTGAGTTGCACATTCAGACACCAACAAGACAATTGTCATGTCTCGATCAATTTGCAAGCAACATCAAGCAAGTTAAAGCGGAAATACATCACCTTGCCTTGTCTGATCACGAAACGGGACAAACACTTTCGCTCAAAACTACAAAATCGTACGAAATATGCTCTTGGTATGAGGATGTCAGAGATTATAGTAAAGAAAACATGGACAAGTTCTGTAGTTGCGTATCATCTCTTACTTTCTCAAATGTATACGAAAAAAATAACTTGCAAGAGGCGTTTATCGAATTTTATGATTTATTTAAATTATTTTTTGATCTTTGCTTCCCAATAAATACAATAAAAAGGGCAACTAAAAAAGGGAACCATAAATGGTTGACGAAGGGCATTAGAAAATCCTGTATAAGAAAAAGATATCTCTATCTTAGTCAACAACATAATAAAACAAACAGGAAAACAATCAATAAAACATATAAAGCATACAATTCCATACTTAAAAAGTGCATATATAAATCGAGACAATTACAAAGTAAGAATTATATTGAAAATAATAAAAATAAATGTAAAGCCACATGGACGGTTATTAATGAAAATATTGACGACCAAAACATGAAAAAGCAAATTGACAAAATAATTAAAAATAATCGGATATATGACGACCCAAAAAAAATTTGTGACATATTTAATGAATTTTATATACAATTGACAAATGAAAATAATTTTAAATATAATGTTGACGAAATAAACAAGACTATAAATACTAATAATGAATATACAATATTCCTTAAACCTACTGATGCAATGGATATATTTCGGATAATTAACAGTCTTAAGAACACAAACGCAGTAGGGTTTGATAACATCACAACCACTGCAATAAAATTATCTGCACCATACATATGTCAACCGCTATGTTATTTGATTAATATGTCTTTTGAAGAAGGTACTTTTCCAAATATATTGAAAAACTCTATTGTAAGGCCACTTTTTAAGAAAGGCGACGCATCTGATATGAATAACTATAGGCCAGTGACGCTTATACCCATCTTGTCAAAAATCTTCGAAAAGACTATGTTGAAAAGACTTCAAGAATTTACGACAAGTCATCGTATTCTTAAAGATGAGCAATTTGGGTTTAAACAAAATAATACAACTTCATTAGCATGTTTTAACTTGATTAAAATAGTCACCCAGGCTATAAATGATGGCTTACCAGTTGCGGCAGTCTTCCTGGACATGAGCAAGGCGTTTGATTTCGTGGACCACAAACTACTCTTATTCAAATTAGAAAAATATGGAATAAGAGGTAAAGCTAACGACTGGTTGAGAACTTACTTATGTGACAGACAACAATGCGTGGAAATATCTAAAATCCATAAAGACAAAAAAGTTTTATATAGAAGTGACTATCAGTCAATTAATTTTGGCGTGCCACAAGGCAGTATATTGGGACCATTTTTATTCCTCATTTATATTAACGATCTCCCTAATATCACTCGCCACAACACAATCTTGTTTGCTGATGACACAACCGTTATCGTGAAATGTGAAAATGCAGATACATATGAACTAGAGGTAAATATGGCTATTAAAAACATAATAGACTGGCTTTATTGTAATAATTTACAAATTAATATTGATAAAACTAAAATGATCCAATTTCAAACATCTAAAAGACAACCATTGAATATTAATGTTAAATATAAGGATACAATCATCGAACAAGTAGTAAGTACAAAATTTCTGGGTATAATGTTGGATCAAAATTGCAACTGGAAAACTCATGTCGATTACATTTGTGACAAACTCGACAGATTTGTCTATGCAATAAAAAGATTACGAGTCACGGTATCAACTGAAGCTGCTCTATGTGCATATCACGGTTATGTTTCGTCCGTACTCTCATATGGTATTTTATTGTGGGGCAACTCGGTGGATATAAAAAAAGTGTTTAGAGTACAAAAGAAATGTGTGCGTGCAATCTATGGAGCCTGGTGTACGGATAGCTGTAAGCCTTTGTTTAAAAAGTACAATATCTTGACATTACCATGCTTGTACATTAAAGAAGTATGCCTATTTGTAAAACAACATCCGGAACACTTTGAAAAGCATATAGATGTAAGTAAACGAAATGTAGCTCCTAGAAATAAACATAAGCTCTATTTACCTCAATGCAGACTAGAATTGCATAAAAGGAATTCTTATGTTAATGCTATAAAGGTATATAACAAATTGCCCAACTCATTTAAAGAATTACCTTTAACCATGTTTAAAAAAAAGTTGACACAATGGTTAAAGGAAAAATGTTTTTACGACTTCAAGGAATTTATATCTTATTGCGAAAAATAAATCTGACATCAGTAATATTGATATATATATAGGTAACTAACTAGTACGTTTATTACATGATCTAACATTTTAAAAATTTTCATTTAAATTGACATTATAATTATGACTGCAATTAATTAATTTGTTTTTAATAATTATAAATGTATACCTTACTAAATAATCTGACATTTTAAGATTTATCGTTTGAATTGACATGATAATTTTGACTTCAGATAATCAATTTGTTTTTAATAATTTCTATTTTCTGTTTAAATAATTTTTTGCATGTATACCTATAAAATGTTTGCACACCATATGTAGTGGTAGAATGTAAATGGGCCATTAGACATAATTTAAGATCATACTTTATTGTACACCTACATTCTGGCAAATAAAATTAATTTGAATTTGAATTTGAATTTGAATAGGTACATTATGTTGAGAATGTATTAAGCTAAAATCAAACAACCACAGGACGCATGACTTTTTCCAAGTGACATAAGACATAACCTAAAAAGGTTCAACTGTAAATATCTTCTTTTGACGCCTTCTCAGGACAATATTCTTTGACAGAGTTATTAAGGGACTGGCGCTTAACATTTTAAGATATTTTTGATAAATAGACGCTACCATTCCTTCGCAACTAATTTTATGTATGAAAGTCTGCCATTGTTCTTTATTATTATTTTTAGACCGTTGGCAGGGAGGAGCGTTAACGGTGCGAGGCGTCCGTTATTGCTACGGGGATCTTTTACCTTGACAACGACAACGGTTTTTTACAATTAGGCTGACTATTAGAAACGAGCTAACTCCCTTTTTTAAGGTCTTAATTACACTTATTATCAGGTGAGCCTGAGCATGCTCGTTTGCCCCCTCTTCTATAAATAATGTGAAATTCTTAATTTCACACAAGAAAATAAAATCATTCATTCATTCATGTAGGGTCATTGTAGAAGCGTGCTCGTCGCGACCCCTGCCAGCCCTTTTCAGGGCTGCAATTCTACTAGCTGCGCACCCATGCCAACGAGGGTTAGGGCGTCCCCCCAAGGCGACGCACACCAGCTCGTCCCCGTTGGTGTGGAATGCAGCGTGCAAAGCGGCGATGGGGACCGCCACCCGTCACGCACAGCCCGACACGGCGGAAGGTGGAGGACAGAGTGCAGATCCCGGAGAGCGAGAACGCCTGCCAGGGAGTGGGGGTGCTGCTGTCTTCTCGGTTGGTCGATGTTATGACTGAATATAAGGTTGTGAACTCAAGACTTCTCTGGGTTCGCTTTAAATTGGGACTGACGAAGTTATTCCTTTTGGCTGTTTATGCGCCGGTAGCTTCGTCGTCCAGGGCTGAGCTGGAGGAGTTTTGGGAGAATGTAAGAGAAGTTCTAGATTTGGCTAGGGGAAACGAAAGAATTGTTGTATGTGGTGATTTGAATGGATGGGTTGGTACCGCTCGACCAGGGTACGAGTCGCTACTTGGAAAGTTTGGCGATAAAAGGGTTAATGATGCTGGCAAGCTTATACTGGCGGTGTGCAAGGAAAAGGGTCTTCTTGTGACAAACACTATGTTTAATCACAAGAAAATCCATATGTATACTAGAGAACGAAAGAATGAGAGAAGTATGATTGATTTGTTCCTGGTGGATGACCGACTGCGAAAACAGGTGATGGATACGCGAGTGTTCAGGGGTGCCGACCTGGGAACGGATCACTATCTAGTGATTACTAGATTTAGGGGTCTGTTCGCGGGTTGGCGCTACCGGACGGCAGTAACAGAACCACAGTCGGTCTGTCGCATCCGAAGCTGGAAGCTTCAGGAAGCGGATACTAGGGACAAATATCATGCGAGGGTAGCCGAAAAGCTTGACACCATCGATGGCAGAAAAGAATGTGTAGAAAGAACTTGGCAGAACCTTAGGGATGGAATGGTAAGTGCAGCGGAAGAAGTGTGTGGAACAATAAAAAGAGGCAGTAGTAAAAGAAGAGATGCATGGTGGAATGATGAAGTGAAAGAAGCTGTAAAGAAGAAGAAGAAAGCATGGTTAGACTACTTGGCCTCTAGTAATGATAAGGATATGAGAGAGAAGATGAAAGAAAGATATAGGCTGCAGAAAGTTCACACGAAAGCACTGATTGAGGAAGTGCGTGAAAGGTGTAGAATGGAAGCGGACAAAAGGTTGTCGCACAACTTCAAGGAGAACTCCAAACTCTTCTGGAAAGAGGTTGGAAGGACCCGAAGTGGTGCGACGGCCTTAAGAATGAACAAAGTGCTTTCGAGAACTAATGACGTCCTCTCAGAAAAATCGGACGTCATGCAGCGATGGAGCGAATTTTATAGAGAAATGTATGCGTGTGATGATCTTAGTGAGGGATCCGGGGATGACGCCGTGACTGGTACGCCAGACCCGGACCTCGATGACACTGAGGTCATCAGGATGAAAGAGATTGAACGTGCGATTCGAAGTTTGAAATGTGGTAAGGCTGCGGGACTAGACAGAGTTACTGCTGAAATGGTCAAGTATGGTGGGCCTCGCGTCTGGGACAGCTTTCATCTGCTGTGCAATTTGTGCTGGCGGACGGGGGATGTCCCGGATGATTGGCGATCCGCAGTCATTGTGCCTTTATATAAAGGTAAAGGTTCACATTTTGACTGCGGGTGCTATCGGGCGATCAGCTTGACCAGTTTAGCAAGTAAAGTTTACTCGAAGGTTTTGACACGTAGGATGCAAGAGAAATCGGAAAGATTTCTATGGGAGGCACAATGCGAATTTAGACCTGGAAGAGGATGCACGGATCAAATGTTTTCTCTCCGCATGATCACGGAGAAGCTTCTGGCTGCTAACCAGAAGATTTTCTGTGCTTTTGTGGATCTTGAGAAAGCATTTGATAAGGTTGTAAGGAAGAAAATGTGGGGATTGTTGCCGGGGTATGGTGTGGATGGTCGATTACTAAGGGCTGTGCAGTCTCTTTACTGTGACTGTAAAGCCTGTGTGCGGGTAGGGCATGACCTGTCACCCATGTTTAACGTCCAAACGGGCGTAAAGCAGGGTTGTGTCATGTCTTCCTGGCTGTTCATACTGTATCTCGACAGCTGTTTACAGAAGCTGAAAGATAGTTGTTTTGGGTGTGAAATTGCGTGACATTAAAGTAAATTGTCTGCTGTATGCTGATGATGCAGTGCTTATTGCATCATCAGAAGCAGAACTGCAGGCATTAGTCACGTGTATGAAAGAGGAATGTGAAATTAAAGGTCTCCGTTTGAATGCTAATAAAACTAAGGTTCTGGTATTTGAAAAGGACGAAGAGAGAACGAAGTGTGAAATATGGGTAAATCAGGAATGTCTAGAACAAGTAAATGAAATTGTATACTTGGGGAGTGCTTTTAGCCGGGATGGAAGATGTGATTTAGATGTGGACAGGCGTGTCGCTGCCGGGAACAAAGTCAATGGTGCCCTGACTGCGTTAGTCAAAAGGCAAGGCGTAGCGAAGAGTGCACGCCTTGCAATACATAACGCAGTGTTGGTACCGACTTTGTTATATGGCAGCGAAACCTGGGTATGCCAGAAGAAGCATAAAAGTAAGTTGAATGCAGTGGAGATGCGATCTCTTCGTAAAATGTGCGGCGTTACCATGGCCGACCGAAAGCGAAACGAAGAGATTCGCAATATGGCAGGTTTGAAAGATGACCTTATCACAAAAATTGATAAGGGCGTGCTTCGGTGGTTTGGGCACGTTGAGCGAATGAGTGAAGACCGAATGGTGAAGAAAATATATAGCGCGAAAGTTAATATTAAAAGGTGTCGAGGTAGACCGAGACTAACTTTCGAAGACCATGTGAGTAAATTGCTCGAAGAGGGTAGGGTCAAAAGTACTCGGATACCTAGACGTGCATGCATGAAGAAGATAATGAATCTGAAAGAAGCGAAAGAGGTTTGTAAGGATCGTGACACTTGGCGATCTGTTCTCTCTGGCTACCCCGTCAGGGATTGTGCGTGAAGATAAGTAAGTAAGTAAGTAAAATAAAAATTTGTTTGTAAAACTTCCAAATTCAACCAATGTTCAAAATGAGGTCCCCCTTGTCATAGAAGAAAAAGTGAAAGAATCAGCAGGTATTCTTTCCTGTCATTTTTGCAATATGTATTTTACAATATTATGTAATTGAAAATAAACATGGAAACATAGAGCTAGCTAGATGGAGCGACGATCTGCGCAAGGCGACTGGAAGCAACTGCTGCAGAAGATCGGCCTAAGTGGCGCGCCTAGGGAGAGGCCTATATCCAACAGTGGACTGTTTGCAGGCTGATGAATGAATAAATAGATAATTGAAGCTTATTATTGTATAAAAAAATTATATATACATTCACATTATTCTATAAAAGAATTATATTATTATATGACAGACTTACTGTTAAATAGAATGATTTGGAAGCAATGCAGTAAAGACAGCGGTGGGAAGAAAGCATTGATATGAACGTCGAAGGCGTAGCCCCACTCTACATCCGCGGCGGCGGGGTCGCGCCGGAGATATTTATTAATTAAGTACCTGTAATGAGTGAAAAACTAATTGCATAAATATATCTATACAAATAAATAAAATTGAAGTGTCTGTTTGTAATGTCAAAATTACAGTTTTTTACTAAATGCATATGAAAGTAAATGCGATACCTACAACTAAAATACAATTTTTAAAATTTTTGTCTGTCTGTCTGTCTGTCTGTCTGTCTGTCTGTCTGTTTGTTCCGGGTAATCTCCGAAACGGCTGGACCGATTTTGACGGGACTTTCACTGGCAGATAGCTGATTTCATAAGGAGTAACTTAGGCTACTTTTATTTTAGAAAAAGAATCAGGGTTCCGCGCAGAAACATAAAAACCCTAACACGCGAACGAAGTCGCGGGGAACAGCTAGTTTTAAATATTTTTTATGTGAAACACCTAATGGCTCGCCTTGGCAGTAAATCCGACAAACGACATGACGCTCTCTAATGGCGTCAGGCTCCCTCTAAGCCACCACTCTCGAATTTCTTTTGAGTGGGTACGCTACTATACACTGTTGCTTCTCTCTGTGAGTTGTGTACTGCGTGTGTGTTGCTGTTCGACTATAGTTTAATTGACATGTTTACCGCTTATATGCACTACATATTCTTTATTGGTTATTATTAATTATAAATACTACCATCAAATATGATGTTTCGTATCTGCCGGGCGTACCGTGACTGTCAAGTTTTTTTTTTCAAAGAAGTATAAAGAAGTTTGCAGAGTCAAGTGGATGAGGAATGGGTTAGGTCTAAACCAGTGGATTTATTTCTAATGATGATGATGAGGTAATAAGACTCAAAGTAAGCATATAGTACGGATGGGGGGGGAGGGGGGTCCACCATGTTGTAAATAAAGAAAACTGTACTTTTGCCATGTGGTGGTGGCTTTAGAGAATCGATCATCTCATTACATCCCATGGCAAAATAGAATAGAGTAGAATTGTTTTTATTCAATATAGTTTACAAGAATACTTCATTCATTCATTTTTTCATTACAGCCCTTCACAAGTCCACTGCTGAACTTAGGCCTCCCCCAAGGAATGCCACAAAGCACGGTCCCGAGCCACCTGCAACCATCGACTTCCTGCGTGTCTTACTAGGTAGTCACTCCATATAGTGGGGGACGCCCTACACTTCGTCCGCCGGTACGAGGCTGCCACTCGAGAACCTTTTTTCCCCATCGGTTGTCGGTTCTTCGAGCTATATGGCCAGCCTATTGCCACTTCAGCTTACTAATCCGTTGGGCTATGTCTGGTCACTCTGGTTCTACTGCAGATATCCTCATTTTTAAGTTTATCACGCAGAGAATCTTCGAGCATAGCCCTCTCCATAACTCGCTGAGCCACCTTCAGCTTCATATTATAATATGTGAAATAGTTCTATGCGTACACACAGATGAGCAGAAGTGGGATAATGCAAGCCATATAAATCAAGAACTCAAAGAACAAATAACTGATAGGGAATAAAGGGTCTCGAGTATGGCAGTCTTGTACTGGTAGGCGAAGCGCAGGGTGACCCCCTACTAGATCCAGCGGCGACATGGTAAGACATGCAGAAAGTAGATGTTTAGACCATGTTTTATAGCATTCGTTAAGGGAAAGCCTGTTATATTTTCAGAAGTGGACTTGTAAAAGGCTGTAATGAAGATGTTGATGAATAGTTTCATTCATATCTTTATGTATATAATTCTTCTGAACATGTGTTTGTCACTATACTCCTAAACGGCTGAAAAGATTTGAATTGAACTCCAAAGGTAATGCTGTTGTCGAGATTCCAAAATCACCTGTTTTTTTTTAAATGTGACAAAGGAGCACACAGTCCATCTGATGGTAAGTGGATACTGTGGCTCATAGACATCTACATTTATCCACAATTAAGAATCAAAATGCAGATGCGTTGTCACCCCTGATGACTAAGAGGAATCCCTCATTTCCAGTAAAAAGGGTCTCCGTTTCTGTACATATGTGTATGCAATCCAATTGCTTGTATGAATATAAGTAAAATAAAACTTACCAAAATATGGTAGACACAAGTATGCCAGCTCCAATGAAGTCCACAAACACTACAAACAGCACAAATAATACAAGCTGACTCCATGTCAGGCCTATTGCTAACGCAAAACATACTGATGACACTGAAATGGACAGAAATAAATACTTTTTTTACTTAAATAGGCTTAATTTTAAAGACAAATTAAACAACTACTTTGGGGTCATGTAATTATTCTTTTTCAATTCCACCATTTGGCTGCCTCATTGATGTAGTGGTCTGCTGTGTAGTGCTGCCTCATAAGTACAACAAATGCTTATTAGATTCCAAGTTCCAAGGTTCATATCCCAGGTTTTTTTTTTATAGGATAAGGGTGACAAACGAGCACACAGTCCACCTGATGGTAAGTGGTTGCTGTGGCCCATAGACATCTACAGCTACCCTTGATTACAAATCAATATGCAGATGCGTTGTCACCCGTGAGGACTAAGATTGAATGCCTCTTTTCAAGTAAAAAGTGTCTCCAGTTCCCAACACTCACCATACGAAACACAGCAGCATTAAGCTGCTACTTTACACTGGTATTCTGTGAGAGCGTGGTCTTTCCCCAGTCAAGCCAACCCATTTGTGCTACAACTATACTACTAATATAGCTGCAGCATGACTCTACCACATGCAAGTAAAAGGGGTCTATGGTTCTCTACACTCACCATAAGAAACACAGCAGCATTAAGCTGCTGTTTTAAGCTGGTATTCTGTGAGAGGGTGGTCCTTCCCTGGTCAAGCCGACCCATTCGTGCTACAACTATACTACTAATATAGCTGCAGCATGGTTTTACCATGTGTAAAAACTATTTAATATAAAATAATATTGTATGTTTATGTTATGATATTTTATAATTTATGTTTAATAGCTAGACAATTCAAAAATTGTGAGCCCTTTAGTGTTACTTTTTATATAAAATTGATATAATTTTTATATATTTAATAAAGTAAATAACTTACGAAATAACCATACACAGAGTAATACTAAAAATGCAGGATCATCCCGTGCAAACTGTGATTTTGTATCTGGAATAAAATATTAAACAATATAATAAACAAAAATTTATAATTGATTGTTCATAAACTAACTTACAATATGAAACAAGCTTATACATAAAAGTAAGGAAAATCTGCAATTTAAGAAAGTAAAACTAGAGCCAAGAAATTTGACGCTTAATAAAAAAAACTTTTTACGTATTTGTTACATACATTACGTATTACGTATATGTCTACTATTACTATTTTGCCCATTGAGTGATGAATGCACCGCCATTTCCTAGTCTGGAGGTTAAAGCAAGCAAGTTAATTACAGGCTGTGAGGCAAATGCCTAAGACGGAATATCTTAGTGCTCAGAGTCAGAGGTGACAATACATGCAAGGTGGCAAGGTAGAGCCGCAGATCCCGAGCTTGCTTTGCTTGCTCTTGCACTCAATAGAACACCAAAATATTAACTTTTATAAAGGCAAATAAAAACATAAGGCAGCACATTCACGTAAACTCGGAAGCAATAGAATGACGTAAAGTATATCTGTCCATGTCAACGAAATTACCGGGGTTGGGTTTGAAAGTAGCTAAGTTGCCTGTATTTTGCTGGCCTATCAATTCATTTTACGCATTATGAGATGACTTTGACAGGTGCAACGTCAAAAATGTTAGAATTTAGTTAAATATACAATCCATTTCATGTTTAGTTAGTGATTTACCAATAGTTTTAAAAAATAATTAAAAATACTTCGACACTGCTCCGACAGCAAAAATCGCATGAGGGTGCTTCAGATAAACCCCCCTTGACCGCCCCCCCCCCCCCCCCCCGCCACAGTGACAGAATCCTCAAATTCTGGCGATTCTATTTCAAACCCAACCTTGCAGTTGGTTGCATATATTATTAATACATGTACATTTTTTCCTATCTTCATGAAGCCAGTTTTTCTCAACCGAAACTTGGCTTAAAATTACCAAGAGAAGGTTTCACTTCAATAAAGATATTTTACATTAATAAGGCAAGGTATGATACAGCTAAACACAATCTATAACCACAATTATGCTGCTATATTGTACATTGTGTGATGAGCGAAATGATGTCCCCCATTTCTATGCACAACATATCAGCGTAATTCTTTTTTGGGTATTTGATACTATAATCAATTGAAATACTTTTAAAAAATACTTAATTCAGATGTAAAGCTAGATTATTGAACTTACGTTTTCTATAATTAAAATTTCTAAACACTTTTTGTGGTGAAATAAATAGATACACCATTTGCCATGCTGCAAACTCAAAGTCCATCTGATTGAATTTGTACAATCTCCGTAAATATTTGTAACTTTTCACTGAAGCGCTGGCGGTAGTTGGTTGGTAGTTGGCTGGTGCTGGCAGCGGAGAAGTACTTCTTGGATAATTGGGGGTTGGCGAAGTGGAGTATTTCATTGTGATCACAATTAAAGCTTATAACGTTAACATATGGACGTAACAACTCTATAGGCATACCCTTACAATAAGGTTTTTAATGTATTTGGTTTTTGAAATAATATTAGTGATAATAAAGTACTCTGTGTTGATAATTGTGATTATTTTTACTTTTTACAAATTTATGAATGACTACAATTCCTATAGCTATAGTAAACTCTATATGTCGCTGTTACTGTCACCTGTCATTGATATTGTTTACGTCAATTTGTTTTTTTTATTTAAATGCTTTTTGTCCGTACAGCCTAGTTTGATGTGATTTTGGTTTCAAAATTCTTCACAATAATATGCTGATGCATCTAGCGTTGCCAGGCGGACAAAGCCGGACACAGTCAGGCATTTTGGTTGCGTGTGCCAAATTAGACTGTGTCCAGCTTATCCTGATTTTGTCAGGCTTTTTAAATAGGACCATTTTTTTTCAATTGACATGTGTTAGTTCAATAGTTCAATAGGCATAGTATCGTCATCGTCATCATCATGCGTCTCATAACAGTTTTTAGTAGATTTTGTTGATAACTAATGTAATCTGTAGTTTATAAGGATAGTATCTCAAGATGCCTATCGAGGCTCTTGTTACATCAGAAACAGAAACAAAAAAACCTCTGTCCTGGGAAGAACCAGCAAGAAACCCATTGGGACCTTTTTTAAATAACAGCTTTCACTCCTGTATGTTACACAATTAACAACACAAAACAAATTAGAAATTGGTAGCGATCACCTCATTCCCGGGGTTATTATCATCCATAAATTCCTTAATATTATAATTACCCTTTTTATACAAACTTTGTTTAATAAAGTTTTTGAACTTTGAGTAGGTCAAATTTTGTATATTTTCTGGGATTTTGTTGTAAAAGCGTACACATCGCCCAAGAATGAATTACTGACTCGGTGGAGTCGAGTAACTGGTACTACTAGCTTGTGTCTGTTCCTAGTATTTTCAGACTGAATATCACTTATTTTTGTAAAACTACTTTTATTTTTGTGTAAGTACATTAAATTTTCATAAATGTACTGAGAGGCCGAAGTTAATATATTAATTTCCTTAAATTTTTGACGCATCGACTCTTAAGCTTTAAATCATACATTGCTCTCATGGCCATCTTCTCTTCTTTCAGTGTCAGCCGCGTGTCCCCATAGCAAAATACCATACGACATTATGCTGTGGAAATAGCTAAAGTAAACTAATCTAGCTGTTTCAACACTGGTAGGATTTCTAATCTTTTTTACAGCATATGCTGCAGTACTAATTCTGCTTGCTAGTTTTGATATATGGTGGCTCCATTGAAGCTTCGCGTCTAGTGTGATTCCAAGAAAAATGGTGGTATCGACGAGACTCTGTTCCTCTCCATTTAAAATTATATTAGTATTTAATTGTTTGACATTTGGAGTCATGAATTTCATACATTTCGTTTTAGTGCCTTTTACATGCAAATTATTAACATTGAACCGATTTACTAATTTAGATATTGCATTATTTACTTCGTCATATTTTAGTAATTGGCGTTTTAATTTAAAAATTAAAGAAGTATCATCAGCAAATAATACCATATCATGGTTATCCTCTACTATGTAAGGTAAGTCATTAATGTATACAAGAAACAGAAAGGGGCCTAGAATTGAGCCTTGAGGCACACCCATTTGTACTATCAACCCGGAAGAGCTCATACTATTAATGACAACTTTTTGCGTTCTGTTATTTAAATATGAAGTAATTAATTTAAGATGATCATTTCTTACACCGTAGTGTTGAATTTTCCTGATTAATGTTTCACGGTCAACACAATCGAAGGCCTTGGATAGGTCACAGAATATACCCAAAGCATCCTGTGAATTCTCCGATGCATAGAATAGAATATTTTTTATTCAATATTGATTACTACATAATACTAATTGAAAGTCATTTTTTATTTACCACTGGTTCGGAAAACACCCCAGTCCTGGGAAGAACCAGCAAGAAATCCAGCGGGAATTTTTTTTCAAACATATTTCACTTAACAATAACTTTGTTTATACAATTTTTAAATTATTTTTCACAGAACCAGCATGGTGGCGATCACCTTATTCCCAGGGGTTATTTTCATTCATGTATTCCTTGATATTATAATAACCCTTTTTGTACAGTTTTTCTTTAATGAAACTTTTAAACTTGTTTATTGACAAACTTTGAATATGTTCTGGGATTTTAATGTAAAAGCGTATACATTGCCCCATAAATGAATTATTGATTCTGTGGAGTCTAGTAACTGGCATTACAAGCTTATGTTTGTTCCTAGTGTTTAAAGTATGCACATCCTTATTCTTATTACAGCTATTTATGTTTTTATGCACATACATTACATTCTCATAAATATATTGCGATGCCAAAGTTAATATGTTTATTTCTTTAAATTTTTCTCTGGCAGACTCTTTACAATTTAGATTATAAATCGTCCGTACGGATCTCTTTTGCAAAACAAATATAGCTTCAATATCAGTCGCATTACCCCATAGCAAAATTCCATAAGATATTACGCTATGAAAGTAACTAAAATACACTAATCTAGCTGTCTCAACATCTGTGAGACTTCTAATCTTTCTTACAGCATATGTTGCAGAACTAAGTCTGCTTGCTAATTTAGATATATGGGGGCCCCATTGAAGTTTCGCGTCAATTGTAACACACACACACACACACACACACACACACACACACACACACACACACACACACACACACACACAAACACACACCTACTCTAAATCATAGGTAATCTTGCTCGGCTTATCTCAATATTTAATCTTATTAGGAAGAGCGGTGCCTCCTGACACAGGTATTATTTTATACTTACTAGGAGGCTCCAATTACTTTATTATTTAGTATGCCTTGAGAAAGAAATAAATGGATTTTTAATTTTTTTAATAGTAATACCAAGTATAGTATCCACAAGACTCAACTCCTCCCCATTTAACAGCACATTGGTATTCGAATGTTTTACATGAGGTATTGTAAATTTAATACACTTTGTCTTATTGCCGTTTTAAAGCATATTGTTGGCGTTAAACCAATGTACCAATTTCGATAGAGCATTATTTACATTGTCATAATTAATTAACTGCCGTTTGAGTTTGAAAATTAAAGAGGTATCGTCAGCAAATAATACTATATCGTGATTGTCCCCTACAACATAAGGTAAGTTATTATTTTATTATAGATTAAAAACAGGAATGGGCCAAGAATCGAGCCCTGAGGAACACCCATTGATACTACTGATCCGGAGGAACCTGTACCATTGATCACGACTTTTTGAGTTCTGTTACTTAAATATGAAGTAATAAATCTAAGCGCTAAATTTTTTACACCGTAATGTTGTAGTTTCCTGATTAATGTCTCATGATGAACACAATCGAAAGCCTTGGAAAGATCACAGAAAATACCTAAGGCATGTTGTGAATTCTCCCAGGCATTAAAGATATATTTAATCAGCTCATCACCGGCATCAGTTGTCGAGCGACCCCTTGTGAAATCAAATTGATTTTCATGAAGTAAATTATTTATATTAAAATAAAATAGCATTTGATCAAGAATATTTTTTTCAAAAACCTTACTAAGTGTTTATAGTACAGAGACAGGTCTAAAATTGGCGGGGTCTAATGTACTACCAGATTTAAATAAAGGTCAGCCTCAAAATCAGGAAACACGCCAGATTCGATACTACTATTTAAAATTATAGCTAGTAGCGCGCTTGTAGATATTATAGGCGCAATAATTTAACGGAAATCGTACACATGTGTTGACATTTAATACACATTTAACAGTGGTAGAGCCACGCGGCAGCTTTTGCTGTCGCACGAATGGGCCGGCTCGAACCGGGGTAGTACCACAACCTCTCAGAAAACCAGCGTGAAGTAGAGGTTTACCTCTGCGTTTTGCTTGGTGAGTGCAGGTGGCTGGAGGCCCTTTTTACTGGAAATGAGGCATTCCATCTTAGTCCTCACGGGTGACAACGCATCTACATTTTGATTTGTAACAGAGGATAGATGTAGATGTCTATGGGCCGCAGCAACCACTTACCATCAGGTGGACTGTGTGCTCGTTTGTCACCCTTATCCTATAAAAAAAAAACACAAAAGTACGCACCACTTAAGTTCACTCAAGACGTCAAGTATGTACCACATTTACAAGTAAAAATTCACTTATTATTTAAATGATAATACAAAAGCAGTAGTAAGCCGCCGGTGGTCAGGTTCCCGCCAAAACTTAACGTCAATTTGTCATTAATTTAACTATATAATTTTACTATATATTTTGCATTTACAATGGCATGGCTCCTTTAGCCAAAAATAATACAACAAAACCTGTACTCATTGCTGGACATAAAATGGTTATATCACCATTTTTTGGAAGTCATATTAATATCTTTTTAGATTCTTACAGCTTTGACGACGGGGCTACTCGTTATTTCTTAAAGCAAGTAACTGGACTAACAAAAATATTCTTGTATTCAATACTGATATACAACTCACCTCTGAATTATCTGTTGAATTATATAACGAGCTTACGTGACTGAAAAAAAAATCGTGAGATATACGATTATATTTTAATTAAATTTCTTAATTAAAATTTTGTAAATCATCGTGACTCTAGTACCGATCAGTGCAGTCACTCTATACTATAGATATATAATGATGTGTGAAAAGAGTCTATAAGGATGTGGCAGCTTCCCGAAAATAATTCGAAATGTTGCGTCAACTTAGACGTTCCGATACCATCGTAATTCACGAGTTCTATAAAAATTGGACGTCATGGACCAGATATCTCTACAGCAGATAATACCGACTAGCTTCGTCGAGGACGAAATCATCAAAGCGAAGAAGATTTTAACACACTGATTAAAATCTACATCCACATTACACGTCACAGATATGGACGCGGTAAGAAAGACTTGCAAGACATCTTCAGAACTTAATAGGATCAGGCGTTA